CTAATAGGGTATATAGGACCTGTACGCACACACACACATAATATAAGAATAACGATAGGATCTGTGCACGTAACAACTAGATCTAGGGCAAATAGGACTTGTACACATATAAGATGATTATTAGGGTTTGCTGAGTGTTGTTGTTGCCGTTGTGATCTGTAGTACCTGCACACATAAAAAGAGTAGAGTTGGCATGGTAATAGGATTGTCATGGTGATAGGGTTACTAGGGTTATCGTCTATCGAACTATTAGGGTTATCATCACCAGAAAAATTAGGGTTATCACCATGGTGATAGGGTTATCAGGAATATTAGGGTTATGACTATCGAGATTATTAGGGTTATCGCCATGGTGATAGGTTTAGGTGTTATCAGAAATATTAGGGTTATCACCATGGTGATAGGGTTATCATCATCCGGAATATTAGGGTTATCGTCATGGTGATAGCCCTAGGGTTAGGGTTATCAGGAATATTAGGGTTATCGTCATGGTGATAGCCCTAGGGTTAGGGTTATCAGGAATATTAGGGTTATCGTCATGGTGATAGCCCTAGCGTTAGGGTTATCGCCATGGTGATAGGGTTAGGGTTGCCAGGATTATTAGGGTTAATATGCCCCGATTTTTAGGGTTAAAACGTGCAGATTTAGGGTTAAATCGTAAAAAAATTAGGGTTAAAACGCCCCGGTTTTTAGGGTTAAATCGCATTACGTCATCGATGACGTCATGTGTAAAACGCTCCGATTTTAGGTTAAATCGCAAAAATTTACCGTAAATCGCAAAAATTTAGGGTTAAAACGCCCCGGTTTTTAGGGTTAAATCGCATTACGTCATCGATGACGTCATGTGTAAAACGCTCCGATTTTAGGTTAAATCGCAAAAATTTACCGTAAATCGCAAAAAATTACCGTAAATCGCAAAAAATTAGGGTTAAAACGCCCCGGTTTTTAGGGTTAAATCGCTATGACGTCATCGATGACGTCAGTGAGTTGGTACAAGCCTAATACTTTCTACTGTGCTGAGTCGAATGGTCGTGGTCCGAGGAAGCTGAGACGCTCCCTTCCTACTTGAATCCCAATCGAACTCGCGCACTTCCACCGAAACTGGGTGACTGCGCCCTACTAGATGGGGATTTGTATGCAAAATGTCACAAAAAGCGCCATTTCGTTCTTATAAAAGCATGGATGACCGCGATTGGCCCATATGTTGTAGTCTTTTGGACGCTGAGTCGATTGGCTTTGGTCCGAAAAGGCTGCGATGCAGCGTTCCTCCTTTATTCCCAATCGAACATGATTTGAACAAGCGGTCACGTGCTCCTGCGTACGCCAGTCACCTGGTCACCGTGCCTGCAGGGTACAACTTACTAGCCTGTTTGACCTTTTTTGGGTGCAGTCCTGTCACTCGAGTTGAACTCGAGTTGAACCTTGGTGTGAAAGTTGTCGCCTGCTGGCGTGGTGACCAGGTGATTTGGGCACCCAGGAGCACGTGACCGCTTGTTCAACCATGTTCGATTGGGAATAAAGGAGGAACGCTGCATCGCAGCTTTTTCGGACCAAAACCAGTCGACTCAGCGTCCAAAAGACTACAACATACGGGCCAATCGCGGTCATCCGTGCTTTTATAAGAACGAAATGGCGCTTTTAGTGAAATTTTGCATACAAATCCCCATCTAGTAGGGCGCAGTCACCCAGTTTCGGTGGAAGTGCGCGAGTTCGATTGGGATTCAAGTAGGAAGGGAGCGTCTCAGCTTCCTCGGACCAAGACCATTCGACTCAGCACCCCGAAGACTACAACTGGTGAAATTTTAATTTTTGCCTTAACTTCCCCTTTAAGCAAGAACGTCTAGTTACAGTTTTGTTTCCCTTGGTATAGCTAGAACTGCATTGGAATGGTTCACTGACTACCTCTCAGGGCGTTTCCAGAGTGTCAAAGTTCTGGACTCTGTTAGTGAGGCCGTCAGTTGCTCCTGTGGTGTTCCGCAAGGTAGGGTTCTTGGGCCACTGCTTTTTGTGCTCTACACTAGTGAACTCCACACCATACTGCCACCGTCTGTACAGCACTAAGACAGATGACATTGTCATCGACTGCTCCCATTCTGATCCTGCTGTAGTGTGCAGAACCCTCACGCAAGCCATGACAAACATTGCCACCTGGCTGGAGGACATTGGCCTGCTCCTCAACTCTTCCAAGACACAGTTGCTCTTCATCCGGCGACGAGGCGCGGCTGCAATACAACCGGCGAGAAACTTTGTGTGACCTCTACAGCCCAGTACCTTGGTTTAGTCCTGGATAATGATTTATCCTGGGCTCCACATGTGGAGTATATTGGTCGCAAGACAGTGCGAACAATTGGTCAGCTCTGGAGGCATGGACGATGACTGAGTTTGCTTGCCCGGCGAACGTGGTTCCTCAGCATGATCCTTTCCCAGCTGTGTTATGGTTCAAACAGTTTCTTTTCAGGACTTAGCGCACACCTGCTTGGTCTGCTTGAAAAGATGTTCAAGGCTGGCATCCGTGCCACCTTGCAACAGCGGCTCTTGACTCCAACTGCCCCGCTGCTCTCTCTGCTCAGCATTGTTATAGTCTACCACATACATATACACAAAAAATTGTCGTATTTGATCATCGATGCATTAACACCTCCTGTAGCCCCCTTCTTCAACAATTATTCACCCGAACGGCCACAGAGACTGTTCAGGAGGAGCAGCGCACCACACGGGGACAAGTGTCGAACTAGCTTCAAGTTCCCTTTATTGCGGGACGATCAACCATGATGTTTCGGGGAAGCATTCTCTGGAACGCTCTCCCCTCTGATTTTAGAGTGATAGGTGTCCCTGGTCCCTTCCGGAAAGCTCTTTCTGCCATTGATATACTTACTTTGTGAATATCCTCATTAAACTTTTATTTTCTTCTTTTGGTCCTTTCTGTCGTATATGAGGCATGGGCAGCAAAAACTAGGGTTAGGTGATATTTACCGAAAAAGATTTTTGATGGCTTTGAGCTGTCCACTAAATGAGTGATCTATGGGCCAAATTTTGGAGCTCTGGGCACCTTCCAAGATGGTAAAAAGAACGCCCGAAATGATGGGTGAAGGTCGACAAAAATGGTCAGCAAAAGGGCAACATGGAACGCAATTACAGCTAGCTCTAATGGAGTGGCTGAGAATAATTTAGCATATTTTTAGGTCTTCAGGGAAGCACAGAGTACTCTAGTTGATAGTATACTAACATTGTTCCCTGCACTTGCTGCAATGTTACTTGAAAACTCAATCCCTGTCATGCGCAGGTCTGGTGTTGTATGCAAACTTGTCAGACAGAAAGAAGACAAGCAACTGACGTTTTACATGACTGGGAAGAATCTACAACTTAGTCTACGACTAGATATACATGCTGGGCCAAGCCAGATACATCCACCAAGCATGTTTTGCTCTCCTACTCACAGCAGCTCATAGATACATGCATTATACTTTAAGACATGTTATTATAACGAGTCGCAAATTTAACAATTGTCCAAAATTCATAGGTTAACGAGAAGATATGTTAACAATCTTGCAGTATTCTGCCATATACACACACAGCATATATGAAGCAGTACGGCCTCAACGGATCTATTATAACGAAGAAATGTCATCCGTTAAAACGTTAGATTTGCGTCCTCGTTATATATACATGTCTTACAGTACTGTGACAAATTTCATGCGCACCGCAAGCGTGCAAGTATACTTGCAACAATTTTATTCTATCAAGTACGGTTTAGTTCATTCAGGGCTGTCTCCGTATCTCCTTATCCAGCTGCGAATAGTCGCCACAGAGTACTGAATCTCGTTCGTCACTCTCACCGCTGCTGTCCGCGTCGCCACTTCGTGTCACGGAGCTCTCAAACTCATCGTCTGCGCTGCCTCCGCTGTTGGCTTGTCATCTGAGCGAAACCTCTTCACTTTCACCTGATTTCTTCTTGCGGGAGACTATCACAGGCAGCTGAGTATCTCTAGAGATCCAGCTGTCAAATATTCTAGTCGCTCGTGCTCCACCAAGAATTTGTGACGGGATCGTTCCGCCAAGACATTATTTGTTCCGCTCTCTTTTGAGCGCATGATTTGCAGGCGCTACCCCGAGCGCAAACGCCTCCATGATGACTGAAAACGCCTACCTGGGCGTCCCAAGTGCTTGGCGGATAAACTTCAACTGCGACGACAACAAATTATATTGAAGCCACCAAGAGGAAAGCACTTTCAAAGCGATAGCGCAAGAAGTCTTTCCGCTTTGATCGCGGTGATTAAAAAACGACATCGGTTAGGTTTTTCGCAAATATTAGCATTTTGAAAAATTGCCAGGACCCCGGTTCTTGCTGCCAATGCCTCATATTATTATCATTTCTTGTTTTCCCTTGCATATCATCCCTTCATCATTCTGTGAGAACCTGTCCTATGGGCAGGTGAGAAGGCATCTCTGCCTGTTCATTTGGTGAAGTAAAATAAACAACAACAACAACACGGCTAAGGGACTCCCCCATCTATGCTTCTCTTGATCTCTTTAATAGTATTCCACTCAGCCTCCGGCAAATCAACCCCAGACGAGATTTCAAAGCAAACATTCTACCAATTGTCATCTCTTCCATATGTACTTGCTCACATTGCTCAGCACATCTATAGCTCCATTGCGCCCAGCCGATGTGATAAACTCCCTATTGCCATCGCTACTGCCTCAGCAAGCAGCTAAACTTTGATCTCTCTGTATCTGTTCCCCGTGCCTGTAATTATTTTTCTCTTATTGGCCACAGGCCATCGTGGGAATAAAAGATTTCAAATACATACACACACACACACACACACACACACACACACACACACACACACACACACAAACACACACACACACAAACACACACACACACACACACACACACACACACACAGAGAACTGTGAGCAGTATCCAAATTAGACTCGGAGAGTTTTGACCGACCTTTGGTCTATCTTTTCAAAATTCGGAATTTAATACTTACATTTTCCAAGTGTACGTCCAGACCTGCTGGATATTCCGTGTATTCCTCGCAGCTTATTGTTTCGAAAACGAATGAAAAAAGTAAACAAAGCCACTACCAGCACAGCAACAAGACTGAGAGAAAGACCCAGAGTTAGATAGGTATTCGACTGACTTGCGTTGGCGTCTGTTGCTGAAAGTCAGAATGCAACAGTTCGAGCAGACAAAAGGGCCGATAAGATGAATTCATCACTGACATTCATGCATGAATGAATACCAATCACTCAATGCAAACAAATGTTTCTAGCGCACAACCACCTCTCTGCTTAAACATACAACTACTATCGCAGATGCACAACCAGCAGTCCCGCACTTCCCATTCTCATACAGTTTCACAGTCACAGCTATACGCGCACAGGCACACCCCCAGCCACACCCCCAGCCAGTCACCCAACCACCACCCTCCAATCCACTCCCTGCACTGCAAAACACAGACTTGTCATGCTCGTATCAGTCGTTCGTACAATCAGGGAAGGTGCATTTCTTCTTGCCGGTGCCGGTGGTTGTGCTTTGGGAAAGAACGTTTTCGGCATGAAATAGTGCAGATTCATTTATGCTACAACGATGAGTCAACAACCGTGACAAGTGACAATACAACGAACAGCTCCCGGACCTAAAACGTTCAGATCCCGTAGTGTTGTGAACCTTGAACCGAAGAGTTGTGGCCGTGGTTCAAAGAGCCTGCATTGTTCTCCAAAAGAGCAGCGTCCAAAATATGCCATGCTGACACCAAAAATCACTATAATGGCAGACTACTGGAGTCGTTATAGAACAGCTTTTAGAGCACTCCCATCAGTCTTCTCCATTTCGCCGACTCTACTCTCCAGATATCTGATAATCATATCAGCCTCGCCGCTGCTGCTTCTTCATCAGTCGCAAACGCTGCAGGGCTCACTCTTGACCAGCCCGCTCGGCCATTTCTTCAGCAGGACACCGGAGTTCTCAGCCCAGACCGAACTCATGAAGGTCAGCCATGGCTGCATCCTCACTCTCACACAGAGTTATGTCTTCGTGGCCGCTTGTACCGACTACTATCGGTCGTCAAATCATTTGAAATAGCATTGACACTATTGATTTCCTGCAGTCCCTTTGACCTGGCTGCATGCTATGGCATTGCAGATTGTGTGGGGCGGCTGCATGACGTCATGGGCGCAACCCCCCCCCCCCCCCCATACTTAGTTTTTCGAACGGAAATATCTCAAGAACGCTTTGTTGAAGGCAGGTCAGACCAACAACATTGAACTCAGCGACCCAAAGTCCTGAAATTTAAATTTTTCTCTGAACTTCCCCATTAAGTGTGCCGATTCATAACATTATGACTTACCTGTGCAATGCGTTTCATTTCCCTGGTAACCAGTTGTACATACACATGCATATGAACCAATGGTATTGTTACATTGAGCGTTGACATGACAACCATGTGTTTTTGCTGTACATTCATTGGTGTCTGATATGGTGATACAGTGGACAACAGAATAGCACAACGTGCTAGTCATTGGGCACTTTCGACTACATGTTTGGACCCAGGTTTTATAATTCTCGAATGAACAGAATGAACGCATTGCGGCCATGTAGACAAACGACTACAGTGACATAAATCGTAAAAGGGGATCACGTGGGAGCCCGTGCACCCTCGCGCGCATGTGGACCTAGCACGGCGTTCACGTCGAGTGCGTCAATTCTGGAATTAGCAATTCTGGAATTACATGTCGCAATTCGGCCCTATCTTCAGAATTGACCAAATTGACGGAATTGCAATTGACGACAGATTTTGTGTAACTGAACGGCGCATCCACCATAAATAATTCGACTGTCGTGGACATGGAAATCCGGTCGCATGTCTAGTGGCCCCAGACCACTGACCATGCAGCCGTGGATAAGCGGTACACACATGCATTTATGCGCTGCAGCGCGCTGGTTGTAGCGGATCAGCATGTGCACTGCACACAGCGTTCTGTATGCGCTGAGTGCTCCGGCTCCGGTCAATTGACTGCATTTCTATGTTTCTATATCTGCTGCAGTAGAATTGACGGAAATGTGTGCAATCGAGCCCGCCCATTGTTACAGAGGCTTACAAAGCAAACGTTTGTGCGAATTTTCGTTTGACCTCACGAAAAGGGAAACTTCATGCGAACGTTCGCAGGTTTGAACGCAACATTTGAAGGAAACGCGAAACAAAACTCGAACTACAGTAAAACCAGGTTCAAGTGACGACTTTGGTAACGGTCTTGCAGACAGAGCTGTCATCATGGCATGGACTTACCCTCCACCAGCCGATAGATGCTGTCGCAGTCCGCACAATGGCAGCGGACCGACAGGCATGGCGTGGAGCCCGCCCCACCTAACAGGACTGATTCTCGTGATCCACGTGATTCCGCCAGACATGTTGTATGCATATTCTATTTTATTTTATACTTTGGATAAGTTTTCCATTAGTCCTATTGGTATTGTTGCTAATGGCTTTTGTTGATGTCACTTCTGTCATTTCATTGTATCGCATTACTCTTCAGACATCAATCCTGAATGGCATAAGCGAAAGTGGCACCCCCGCCACCTACGCGGACATGCTTTTAATAATAATAATATACTAAAGTGACCATCCCACGGTGCAAGCGAAAGCGGTCGTTAAAGCCAAGTGGTCTTTAGAACCAGGTCCCATACATTCGCGGCATATCGGATCCTGTACATACATGTACATATGCATGATTGTACATCCATGCACTCGTATTGACAGGCGTGGAGAATAGAAGACTTTCCTACAGGCAAAGCACACCTCATTCAAGTGCATGCAGTGCATCCTGCACTTTCACTTGTCACTTCTGCTGACTGCATGCACTTGCGTCAGAGCGCACTTCAACCCTGTTTGCGTCAACCCTGCCAGTGAAGATGACACTAGGGAGGTTTCGCTCTACGGAATTACGGAATTACTACAGGCTCTCATGTACATGTACTCTCTCCTTCTCAATCTACCCCCTCCCCCCCCCCCCCCTGTTCTTTCTCTTTCCCTCATACTTCCATTAAAAATGCTTATCTGCTGCGACCAGAGTGTGACAATGTCCACCATGCATGGCTGCTGCATGTTCCCTTTGCGTGCATCACTTGGCTTTTCGTAAAAAAAAATTATGTCATGCGGAATCTCTCTATCGTCTCAGATGTTTTGCAGAGCGAACATTCAAGCGAATTTTCCTTTGACGTCACGAAAAAAAACTACTTCGCACAAAAATCGATGGAGCAGTCAAGTGTGCCGAGTCATAACATTACGACTTACCTGAGCAATGTGTTCCATTTCCTTGGTAACCAGTTAAACATGCACATGTATATGAACCAAGGATGTTGCTACAGTTAGCGTTGGCATGACAACTATTTGTTTTTGCCGTACATTCATTGGTGTCTAATATGGTGATACAGTGGACAACAGAACAGCATAACATGCTAGTCATTGGACACTTTCGATTACATATTTGGACCCAGCGCACTTCAACCCTGTTTGTGTCAACCCTGCCAGTGAAGACGACACTTTTGGCTGGTTTGGGCCGCTGTGCGTAGGTCCTATATGGCACTTGGTACACTAAAAGTCGTTTGATGGCCGTGCAAGGTAGGTGGTCGCTGTATCCAGTGCTGTTTCTGTGTAGAACAGTCCGTGCATGAAAAAAACGGTCATTAAGAGCAGGTGGTCGTTAAACCCAGAGGTCGCTTACACCAGGTTTTACTGTATTAGGAATGGGTTTGCTCCCACACTGGAGCTCGCGCTATTCCGCCGACGACTTGACACTTGACTGCCGCAACCTCGCAACCTCTATTTTTACTGTACTGTACACAAAATCGACGAAACAGTCAAGTGTGCGGAGTCATAAAATTACGACTTACCTGAGCAATGTGTTCCATTTCCTTGGTAACCAGTTGAACATGCACATGTATATGAACCAGGGATGTTGCTACAGTTAGCGTTGGCATGACAACCATGTGTTTTTGCTGTACATTCATTGTTGTCTGATATGGTGATTCAGTGGACAACAGAATAGCATTAGGAGCCATTCGTAAATGTAGATATTTATTCCCGTAGCTATGCAGAAGACGTTACTTCAGTAACGTCTGGCGCTAGCCAGGGTCCACACAGCTTTAATTTGGTGTTTGTTTGTTTGTTTGTGTGTTTGTGTCACGCCTGGAGCTATCCCCTATCTTTCCCGTATCTGTCCCGTATCTGTGACTACAAAGGCTCTACAGGATTGTACATAACAGCTGTCCACAATATTTGCTGGCTCCCGTATCTGTCCCGTACCGTACCAATATTCGTCGTATTATGTATACGACTCCCTGATATAGAGGGAGATTTGGAAGAGAAATAGGGAGCGAGGAGGAAATTAAATTAGAATAGACGCCGAATAGGTGATAGGATGCGTCAGCAAAAATCTACTTTGGAAGAGAAATCCCGTCGTCTCCAAAATAAGCGTGAACGGGCGATTCAGTGCCGGTCACAGGAAACGTCGGAAGAGAGATTCCGTCGACTCCAGAACGCCCGTTATCGGCAGAGTCAGCGCCGGTCACAGGAAACGTCAGGACAGACATCCCGTCGAGTCCAGATCGCCCGTGATCGGCAGAGTCAGCGCCGGTCACAGGAAACGTCAGGACAGACATCTCGTCGACTCCAGATCGCCCGTGATCGGCAGAGTCAGCGCCGGTCCAAGGAAACGTCAGGGCAGACATCCCGTTGAGTCCAGAACGCCCGTGATCGGCAGAGTCAGCGCCGGTCACAGGAAACGTCAGGGCAGACATCCCGTCTAGTCCAGAACGCCCGTGATCGGCAGAGTCAGCGCCGGTCACAGGAAACGTCAGGACAGACATCTCGTCGACTCCAGATCGCCCGTGATTGGCAGAGTCAGCGCCGGTCCCAGGAAACGTCGGACGACACAAATGCAAGAAATGAGCATCAGAGGCTTAATCGTGCTGATTCGCCTCGTGCTACTGCAGCTGCGCACATGGAAACTGTGCGATGCATGTGAGAGCAAAAAATACCGATCGATTTTTTTTGAAAACTCCAATCGGCCAAAGTTTAATGACGGCGAAAAAGTTTCGTTTCGAGATCGGCCAAAGTTTCTCATCGGCCAAAATGTGTTGATGTACAGTATAAGAAGATCAAAAAGAAAAGAGGGAGCAAACCAAAAGTGGATGAAATTAGAGAAAAATATCAATCCGAAATAAAGTCTACAAATACTTTTGCCTAACTCATATTTAAACTGATCGAAACGTTTTTGCAATACAATGATGTGGCGAATCAACGGAAAAAAACATTTCCATTAGTTTAATAACATGTACGATGAGGTAGGCAAAAAAGCATAGCGTAGGGCCCTGAGCTTCCAAGCTCTCTCGTTTAGAAACCAAAACGAGTTGTTCAAGGGGAATATCAGTATTTTACGGATGATCCTTAATGTGCAAGTCATTAGAGATGTTCCGCACTACGTGAAGTTGAGCAACCTTACGTTAGTAGGCGGGAAAACCCGTGAACTCGCGAGTTTGCACTTAACCTATGGAAAGTTGTCTATGTATAGTACATACGTAGGGCTCTGATAACGGAGGTGCTCCGTAAGTGTATTGGGGTGCAAAATTTTGACTCACTCCCTAGGTCGACCCGGTCGTACACTGCCGCGTTCCGAGTTGCCAAGGGCAGCTATATCATTCGAAAACTACATATGGCGGAACACAGACCGGCATGGAGCGTAGGTTACACTTTCCATAGATCGACTGCATTTGTTACTAACGTAATTATGTCGTGCGGAACCTCTCAATCGTCAGAGATGTTTTGCAGAGCGAAAATTCAAGCGAATTTTCGTTTGACATCACGGGAAGGGGAACTTCATGTGAACGCCCGTGGCTTTGAACGCGAAAGTTGAAGGATAAGCGAAACAAACTTCAACTAATGTGCACAAAAATTGATGAAACATTCAAGTGTGTCGAGTCATAAAACTACGACTTACCTGAACAATGTGTTCCATTTCCTTGGTAACCAGTTAAACATGCACATGTATATGAACCAGGGATGTTGCTACAGTTAGCGTTGGCATGACAACCATGTGTTTTTGCTGTACATTCATTGTTGTCTGATATGGTGATTCAGTGGACAACAGAATAGCATTAGGAGCCATTCGTAAATGTAGATATTTATTTAGAAACCAAAACGAGTTGTTCAAGGGGAATATCAGTATTTTACGGATGATCCTTAATGTGCAAGTCATTAGAGACGTTCCGCACTACGTGAAGTTGAGCAACCTTAAAGTTGAAGTTGAGCAACCTTACGTTAGTAGGCGGGAAAACCCGTGAACTCGCGAGTTTGCACTTAACCTATGGAAAGTTGTCTATGTATAGTACATACGTAGGGCTCTGATAACGGAGGTGCTCCGTAAGTGTATTCATGTGGCTTTGAACGCGAAAGTTGAAGGACACGCGAAACAAACTTCAACTAATGTGCACAAAAATTGATGAAACATTCAAGTGTGTCGAGTCATAAAACTACGACTTACCTGAACAATGTGTTCCATTTCCTTGGTAACCAGTTAAACATGCACATGTATATGAACCAGGGATGTTGCTACAGTTGGCGTTGGCATGACAACTATTTGTTTTTGCCGTACATTCATCGGTGTCTGATATGGTGATACAGTGGACAACAGAACAGCATAACATGCTAGTCATTGGGCACTTTCGATTACATATTTGGACCCAGCGCACTTCAACCCTGTTTGTGTCAACCCTGCCAGTGAAGACGACACTTTTGGCTGGTTTGGGCCGCTGTGCGTAGGTCCTATATGGCACTTGGTACACTAAAAGTCGTTTGATGGCCGTGCAAGGTAGGTGGTCGCTGTATCCAGTGCTGTTTCTGTGTAGAACTGTCCGTGCATTAAAAAAACGGTCATTAACCCTTTAGGGCCCACAATTATTTCAAGAAATGCACTGCATACGCGAGCCCAGGTACTTATCTGGTCGTAACTTTGGTGTCCTTTGGCAGATTTAGGTGATCTTGGGCTTTCTGGAAAGCTCTTGGCCAGAGGAACACAGCGATAGCCAGCAATACATCACTCGATTCACAGAACCAGCGCCGCAGCGCGATACGGCGCTCCAAAGCCAGCATTGCGAGCGCCAAACTCAAATTCTCTGCCATTTCAACAAATTGCATCGCAGATCGCTCAAATTTTTTTACTGGAGAGCTGAGAAACATGCCTTTGCGATGACGTGAACTATCTGTAGCTGCGTGGGCCGCGAGTCAGGGAAAACCCCTAAAAACGAGTTCAAAATGCACACGCTCGAGTTGACTCTGCTGAGCAATTTAGTTCGAGTCTCGTATCTCCGCTTTTCGAACTCGGATCGCTTTTGGGTTTTTTCGAGCCGATAGCTGAGACAATTCTAATGTCGATAGCCGTTTCGATTGTCCGATTTGGTCAAGAAACGGCCGAGTTACGCCAGGTTCCGCTTTGAAAAGTATGCACTGTACACTGGTACGGATATATCCGTACTATGGGCCTCAAAGGGTTAAGAGCAGGTGGTCGCTAAACCCAGAGGTCGCTTACACCAGGTTTTACTGTATTAGGAATGGGTTTGCTCCCAAACTGGAGCTCGCGCTATTCCGCCGACGACTTCACACTTGACTGACTCACAACTGCCGCAAACTCGAACCTCTATTTTTACTGTACTGTACACAAAATCGACGAAACAGTCAAGTGTGCGGAGTCATAAATTACGACTTACCTGAGCAATGTGTTCCATTTCTTGGTAACCAGGTGAACATGCACATGTATATGAACCAGGGATGTTGCTACAGTTAGCGTTGGCATGACAACCATGTGTTTTTGCTGTACATTCATTGTTGTCTGATATGGTGATTCAGTGGACAACAGAATAGCATTAGGAGGCATTCGTAAATGTAGATATTTATTTAGAAACCAAAACTAGTTGTTTAAGGGGAATATCAGTATTTTACGGATGATCCTTAATGTGCAAGTCATTAGAGACGTTCCGCACTACGTGAAGTTGAGCAACCTTACGTTAGTAGGCGGAAAAACCCGTGAACTCGCGAGTTTGCACTTAACCTATGTAAAGTTGTCTATGTATAGTACATACGTAGGGCTCTGATAACGGAGGTGCTCCGTAAGTGTATTGGGGTGCAAAATTTTGACTCACTCCCTAGGTCGAACCGGTCGTACACTGCCGCGTTCCGAGTTGCCAAGGGCAGCTATATCATTCGAAAACTACATATGGCGGAACACAGACCGGCATGGAGTGTAGGTTACACTTTCCATAGATCGACTGCATTTGTTACTAACGTAATTATGTCGTGCGGAACCTCTCAATCGTCAGAGATGTTTTGCAGAGCGAAAATTCAAGCGAATTTTTGTTTGACATCACGGGAAGGGGAACTTCATGTGAACGCCCGTGGCTTTGAACGCGAAAGTTGAAGGACACGCGAAACAAACTTCAACTAATGTGCACAAAAATTGATGAAACATTCAAGTGTGTCGAGTCATAAAACGATGACTTACCTGAACAATGTGTTCCATTTCCTTGGTAACCAGTTAAACATGCACATGTATATGAACCAGGGATGTTGCTACAGTTGGCGTTGGCATGACAACTATTTGTTTTTGCCATACATTCATCGGTGTCTGATATGGTGATACAGTGGACAACAGAACAGCATAACATGCTAGTCATTGGGCACTTTCGATTACATATTTGGACCCAGCGCACTTCAACCCTGTTTGTGTCAACCCTGCCAGTGAAGACGACACTTTTGGCTCGTTTGGGCCGCTGTGCGTAGGTCCTATATGGCACTTGGTACACTAAAAGTCGTTTGATGGCGGTGCAAGGTAGGTGGTTGCTGTATCCAGTGCTGTTTCTGTGTAGAACTGTCCGTGCATGAAAAAAGCGGTCATTAAGAGCAGGTGGTCGCTAAACCCAGAGGTCGCTTACACCAGGTTTTACTGTATTAGGAATGGGTTTGCTCCCACACTGGAGCTCGCGCTATTCCGCCGACGACTTGACACTTGACTGACTCACAACTGCCGCAAACTCGCAACCTCTATTTTTCCTGTACTGTACACAAAATCGACGAAACAGTCATGTGTGCGGAGTCATAAAATTACGACTTACCTGAGCAATGTGTTCCATTTCCTTGGTAACCAGTTAAACATGCACATGTATATGAACCAGGGATGTTGCTACAGTTAGCGTTGGCATGACAACCATGTGTTTTTGCTGTACATTCATTGTTGTCTGATATGGTGATTCAGTGGACAACAGAATAGCATTAGGAGCCATTCGTAAATGTAGATATTTATTTAGAAACCAAAACTAGTTGTTTAAGGGGAATATCAGTGTTTTACGGATGATCCTTAGTGTGCAAGTCATTAGAGACGTTCCGCACTACGTGAAGTTGAGCAAGCTTACGTTAGTAGGCGGGAAAACCCGTGAGTTTGCACTTAACCTATGAAAGTTGTCTATGTATAGTACATACGTAGGGCTCTGATAACGGAGGTGCTCCGTAAGTGTATTGGGGTGCAAAATTTTGACTCACTCCCTAGGTCGACCCGGTCGTACACTGCCGCGTTCCGAGTTGCCAAGGGCAGCTATATCATTCGAAAACTACATATGGCGGAACACAGACCGGCATGGAGTGTAGGTTACACTTTCCATAGATCGACTGCATTTGTTACTAACGTAATTATGTCGTGCGGAACCTTTAAATCGTCAGAGATGTTTTGCAGAGCGAAAATTCAAGCGAATTTTCGTTTGACATCACGGGAAGGGGAACTTCATGTGAACGCCCGTGGCTTTGAACGCGAAAGTTGAAGGACACGCGAAACAAACTTCAACTAATGTGCACAAAAATTGATGAAACATTCAAGTGTGTCGAGTCATAAAATTACGACTTACCTGAGCAATGTGTTCCATTTCCTTGGTAACCAGTTAAACATGCACATGTATATGAACCAGGGATGTTGCTACAGTTAGCGTTGACATGACAACTATTTGTTTTTGCCATACATTCATCGGTGTCTGATATGGTGATACAGTGGACAACAGAACAGCATAACATGCTAGTCATTGGGCACTTTCAATTACATATTTGGACCCAGCGCACTTCAACCCTGTTTGTGGCAACCATGCCAGTGAAGACGACACTTTTGGCTGGTTTGGGCCGCTGTGCGTAGGTCCTATATGGCACTTGGTACACTAAAAGTCGTTTGATGGCGTTGTAAGGTAGGTGGTCGCTGTATCCAGTGCCGTTTATGTGTAGAACAGTCAATGCATGAAAAAAACGGTCATTAAGAGCAGGTGGTCGCTAAACCCAGAGGTCGCTTACACCAGGTTTTACTGTATTAGGAATGGGTTTGCTCCCACACTGGAGCTCGCGCTATTCCGCCGACGACTTGACACTTGACTGACTCACGACTGCCGCAACCTCGCAACCTCTATTTTTGCTGTACTGTACACAAAATCGACGAAACAGTCAAGTGTGCGGAGTCATAAAATTACAACTTACCTGAGCAATGTGTTCCATTTCCTTGGTAACCAGTTGAACATGCGCATGTATATGAACCAGGGATGTTGCTACAGTTAGCGTTGGCATGACAACCATGTGTTCTTGCTGTACATTCATTGGTGTCTGATATGGTGGTACAGTGGACAACAGAATAGCATTAGGAGCCATTCGTAATTTTAGAAACAAAAGTAGTTGTTTAAGGCGGGGGCGAGCGCCTGTTCGTTTCTCGAACAATACCAATGCACAGTTTGTATGTGTGGGCACATCCAGCTAGAAAAGAAAAATCTATACTATGTGCTGTATGTATGTGTTCGTTTCTCAGGGAGGGGGGGGGGGGAGGGGGGGGGGGGTGGGGTTGAAGAGAAATGACTATTTTTCGTGTCTAAACGAGAGAGCTATGCTTTTTTGCCTTGATGACCTAGACAAAAAAAGCATAGGGATATTATAAATTTGAAACTCGGATGTTGAGCCATAAATAAATGTAGAAAGGAAAAGGACATAATATGGATACGAGTTAAGAGTAACTCTCCATCACTGTAACTGGATACTATAATACAGTCAGAAAGTGTAATAACTAGGCACAAAACTGACAAGAGTACTGAGACATTCGACGGCCTGACACCTAGCTTCAACACATCTCCGTAGCGCTAACCGACAGCCTTCCAACTTGGAAGGTTCAAGGTTATGGAAAGACCAAAGAGGGGAAGGCAAGCGTTACTCTTAACTCGTATCCATAATGTCCTTTTCCTTTCTACATGTTATAAATTCTTATAAATTTCTACTTTTTGTTTTTACTGGGATTCGAACCCGCACTATCGCCCTGCATGCATCCCCGGACCCCCGATACACTTCGCATACATACTAATTCTTCCAAGTTGCTTCACGTTATGATCTTGTATTTGAAAGCCCTATATGAATATGCATTGTGGCCAGGCGTCTTTGATTGTACGGTACGGGACAGGTACGGTACGGGACAGGTACGGGACAGGTACGGGACAGGTACGGGAAAGGTACGGGACAGGTACGGTCGAGGGTAATACGACACCATCTACCGCCTTGATGACGGCAAAAAAAGAATAGGGACGTTATAAATTTTTCAATTTTCCTATTTTCAGGCATTACCAGGGATTCGAACCCGCACTATCGCCCTACATGCATTCCCCCATACACTTTGCATTCATACTCATTCTTCCAAGTTGCTTCACGTTATGATCTTGCGTTTGAAAGACCTATTTGAATAGTGCGGCCAGCTGTATGTGGCCAGCTGTGTTTGATGGTACGGTACGGTACGGGACAGATACAGGATAGCGCCAGGCGTGACACAAACACACAAACAAACACACAAACAAACACCAAATTAAAGCTGTGGGGACCCTGGCTAGCGCCAGACGTTACTGAAGTAACGTCATCTGCATAGCTACGGGATTAAATAACAGTATTTGTTTGAAGAAGAGGTTGGTGCGACTTCGGTGATAGTAGGGGAAGAGTGTGTTGCTCCCTACATGGGAGCCCGCGGTTTTCCTGCCGACTTGAATTCTCACTTGACTGACTCATGACTGCCATCCAGAGCACACGAGAAGTCCATCGAACCGTCCACTTGGCAAACCTGCAAGAAAGCACCACTCCCTGCTCAATACACAGTGTTTCAGTCGGGAGTCAGTCAATCAGAATTCAAGTTGGCAGGAAAACCGCGAGCTCCCACGTAGGGAGCAACACACTCTTCCCCTAGTATTTGTTTGTTTAGCTTTATTTTACTTCACCAGAAGCACCGTCAGGCGAAATTACTGGTCAGTCGGCGTCACGCATTTTTCACAAAAATTTGCGTTTCACCTGCTGGGAGAGTATGCGTGTACTCGAGTCTCATCCTGAGCACGTTTTTTTTCTTCTTTTTTTCAGCTCCAGTATACCTGTATTTTTCATTGCAAAGCCGTCCTCGATTGTTGTGTTCGTTGTTCAAACGAAGTGGACATTCAATCATGAAGGCAGAGGACATAGGAGCCTGATTGGAGTTTCTCGTGGCATAGGACGGCCACACAGAGACACTTTGGGATTTTCTGAATATAAAATACCGTACGCACGATGCTGAGATCAATTTGTGCGATATCAAATTGTTTGTGATCTACCACATCGAGCAGAACGGGATCCAAACACAAGCTTACCGACGGTTAGGCTACCGACCTGACTGGACAAATGATCCCTGGCTTCACCAGACGCCTGACGTCGGACACCATGTCCTTTGCCGCGACGTCCATCTCCAAAAAGAACTCCATCTTCGTCGTGAAAAGGCTTGAAATACTCAATATTCAACCGAGATTCGCGGTCTCACCCTTTCTCAGATCGAATCATTTTTGGTTGTAGCAGTTGCAGGGCAGATCCCCGCCACTACTTCAACAGAAGATGGCTCCAAAGCATACCTGGAACAAGCCATATCGAGGTTGCAAGCCACCCCTCTCAGCACTTTTTTTGAAGAAATTCGAAATTTCAATGGTGGAAGATATACTATGAAGAGAATTTCAAAAAGTATATTTCGCGGAGCGATCGCTCAACCTACGTCATTCAAACTTTGCAGGATGGTTCAGACGTACATGCTAGGCATGGAACCACAGAAGATGATATCATAGTTGACACACAGAGTCACACACACAGCAGATTCGTGTGCACAGATACTAAATTAGTGGACGTCGTCATCTTCTTCCCGCTGATCTCAAATGTACGATGACGTGCTATTTCGCCTGGCGAGGTAACATCTGCCTTCTCACTGGGCGTACTGCCACAGTTCTCGCAAAATGATGAAGGTGGTCATATAAGAAAAGGAGGAAGAGGAAAATATAATCATGAATAAGGCACTAAGAGAAGACGGAAACAAATCAATAGGGGAGTACTACAAGTAACTTGAATTTGATGAATTTTTTCATGAAAATAATGCAACGGATCCAAAGGTTCCAGGGTTGAGGGAATATTTACGGATGACCTCTAATGTACAAGTCATTAGAGGCGTTCCGCACTACGTGAAGTTGAGCAACCTTACGTTAGTGGGCAGGAAAACCCATGAACTCACGAGTTTGCACTTCACTTATGGAAATTTGTCTATATAGAGGACGTACGTAGGGCTCTGATAACGGAGGCGCTCCGGAGGTGTATTGGGGTGCAAATTGTTGACTCACTCCCTAGCTTGACCCGGTCGTACACTGCCGCATTCTGAGTTGCCAAAGGCAGCTATGTCATTCGAAAACTACATATGGGCCTCAACCAGCGAAAACAGCCCTTAGGGTCAACATTTTCAAAATTCCTTTTTGATTAGAAATTTGTTGAAACACATCTTCTGAAGGACCTCAGCCAAGAAAAAGTTCAATATTCCGATTCAAAACGGGTGTATACACCAATATACAATATGTACTCCAAATTGGTGCAATGTATGTATACAATGTATGTGTACAATGAATATTCAGCATTCGAAGGTGGGTAGGCAGCTTGAATACTTTTTGAAATAGTGCAGTAAGCAGCTATTAGACACCCTTAGCAAAAAACGTTATGTTGTAACGGTATTATCGTAAGGGGGGAAATACCGTGATTTGGGTTCGACCTTTAGCAAGATGCACGCTATTTTTAGTAGCTTTGATTTCGCGCGGTACAACCATTTTTGTCACCATATACGCGATACAAGGTGAAATGCGTACGGACTATGCAATATTTGGCCAAAACCGTTGGTCACAACGATAAATCAGCCCCCATAACGTTTATACGCTGCAGCTTCAACGCTATTTGGGTGATCAAGGTACGAGTACCGTAAAAAATAGCGTTACCGTTGTTTGCTAAGGGTGTCTATTATGACAAAGAATAGCTGAGGAGTGCGGAGAAATGATCGACATATTCGCAGCTGCATCCTGCGTGGAGTCGTTCCGCAATCTCGTCTTTCATTTCTTCCTCCGCAGCTGAAGACACGACGTCGCTGCCTTCACTAGCCCCAGACTCAGAATTTATCTCAGACGACTCCTCATCTGCCGACTCTGACGAGTCATCGGCCACCTTGAGCCGCATCGCAGCAGGAGATGACGGCTGAGATTCCGCCTAGCTGTCGACATCGATGTCGGAACCAAAGAAGGTCTCATCCTCACTCTCAGAACTTCAGCGGCTACTTCAGCATCCACACCCCAGCAGGCTCGAGCTAGCTGTACACAATGACTGCCGTGTGTGCTCTGCGAACAGCTCTGGCGTCCGCAGCCATCGCAACAAGATCAAGGAACACTGGAGTCGCCACACGACACCACTTCAACTTCAAATTAATTACTTCAAGCAAGGAGTTCAAGAAGTCGCCGCGCTGTTTGCAGCGCGATCAAAAAATCGTTGAACGTCACAAATCAACCTTTTTCTCGAAAAAATTACGAAATCTCTAAGGGTCGTTTTCGCTGATTGCGGCTCATATGGCGGAACACAGATCGGCATGGATTGTAGGTTAGACTTTCCATAGATCGACTACATTTGTTACTAACGTAATTATGTCTTGCGGAACTCTCTATCGTCAGAGATGTTGTGCAGAGCGAAAATTCAAGCGAATTTTCGTTTGACATCACGGAATGGGGAACTTGGTGTGAACGCCCGTGGCTTTGAACGCGAAAGTTGAAGGAAACGCGAAACAAACTTGAACTGCTTCGCATCAAAATTGATGAAACAGTCAAGTTTGCCGAATCATAAAATTGCGACTTACCTGAACAATGTGTTCCATTTCCTTGGTAACCAGTTAAACATGCACATGTATATGAACCAGGGATGTTGCTACAGTTAGCGTTGGCATGACAACCATGTGTTTTTGCTGTACATTCATTGGTGTCTGATATGGTGATAAAGTGAACAACAGAATAACATTACTTCCTCCGTATACAAAAACTTCGTGACTTTTTAAGGCTGCGCATAGCTATGGAATTGTTTAGCTTGCCTTAGAATAACACTCGTGGCATTGTTTTTAAAACCTATTTATAAGGTATATACAAAGACAAAAAGCAACTCAGACGAATGATATTGAGTTTATTCCGAGTCTTCATCAAGTTATGGCTCAACCTGCTGCTTCTCCCACAGCTGCTGCACCTGCCGTCGCTACTCCTGCGCCCGAGAAGTGTCCATGCAAGGCAACGGCCAACTAGCCCGACATGATGCAAGCCATCGTCTTTGGTGCCAAGCGTGCTGCGACGTCCATATGCACGCCGACGGACAACTCGCCCCACATGATGCAAGCCATCGTCTTTGGTGCCAAGCGTGCTGCAACGTGCAGGTAGACTAATTCCGGTATGGCATTTTCTTTCCTGTCTTCCTTCAGTCTTCCTTTTCGCGAGTGTGTGAATCCAGTTTAGTTGGGTAGACGTCTGATCATGGTGAGCCACGGTCTACCTAACTAACCTGGAACAATGTGTGTGAGAATCGAGTTTTGGGTTGAGAACAGTCTTCGAGGGCAGTTAGCTTTTTCGAGCTCCGTAGTTTTCTCAGGTTTTGTAGTAGCCAGCCGGCAGCAGTCCGGTCTGGAGAAGGGTAGGTACTAGATAGTTAAATACATGTAGGTAGTAGTTAGTTAGTGAAGTGTATACGTATGTAGTCTGTCTGTAAATATGTCTGAAAAAGGTAGTTCTAACCTACAGTCCATTTCAAAAATATAGACGCGTGAACTCCTACGTAGCAAATCCGTTTGAGTCGCACCGTCACGTAGCGCACTACAGCTGCGAGTTTTGCATGTGTTTTTCAGGTTTTTCTAAATTTTCTTCGCCGCGGCGGAATATATAAAAAGATGCAAAAGATGCAAAGTCGCAAATGAAAAGATGTAGCTCGTTTCAGGTAATGTCGATGTCTTCTAGATGTGGTGGGCGCTTGGAGAGATTGGCTGTGGCGATGTCGGCACGGAATGCGACTCGAAATTGCAAATTTGTATCGCTGATCCCATCGCAGTATTTCGCTCTCCAGACAGGAGCGAGAGGGAGGGCAGCGATGGCCTAAAATCGTCACGGCAGGCGTAATTCACCAGCCAGCGACTGCTTCTTGTCTTCTCTTTCACTTACCTTACGCTGGATGTGAGTAGATGGAGAAAAATATTGATATCGAATCGGACACAATAATTCGAAATAATAATGGGACACATAAAGCAGTACTACTTGCACGCCATACATGCATGTATTCTGACTCTGTGCGCGCGTGATCGTAAAGAGGGCAAGTCGCGGTATTCTGTGACTGGTTTGTAGGCACCGCAACTGGTTTCTCAAAAGACGCAAACTGTGACTGGTGTGTGAGTGATTTTGACTGCATGACTGACTTTGGGGACCGTGACTGCTATGTGGGACGTGACTGCTATCTGAGTCCGACATATATAAAATATTTAAGTTCTTTTTTACCATTATTGTAAAAGGCGAGACCAAAATAAAATCGAGATTCCCGGGCAGGACCCATCTGAAATTGGTGCGGGCGGGCGAATTTAAAAAAAAATATTTTTTCCTATGTGTGTATGCATGGCATGCTGAACTCTTTTTACAGTATTTTCCGGCATTTATTTATTATTTTTTACAAACGACAGGTATATGGTACGTGGTTTACCGGTACTCGTACAATTTCTTTTGTATTTCGGCCAACGACAGCCCTGAGTCGTACACCAGGGAGTCGTACAAGCCCAGGTTTGTGTGACACCATGTCACAGATCTACTCGCACGATCAGTACTGTACAGAATACAACTGTTCAAAAAAAATGCCTTCGGCTCGATTTTGGTGCGGGAGGGCCCGGGAATCTCTATGTTTTTTTGGTCTCGCCTAAGTACAAATTTTCGTTCACGAAATCTTTCGGTAGATCAAACTTATGGCCTCCGACCTCTAAGGCCACACGTTTTTATTTCCATGTTTCTCGTCACCTGAAAATCTAAGAACGTATGTGAGACGTGGAAAAAAATTAAAATGGCCGAAAATAAAAAAAAGTTTATTAGACCGTTGTTCACACTAAAATCTACAAATGCACCATGCAAAATAGCATCCATAGTTAGCAACTAGTATGTGTTAGGAGCTTCTGTTACAATCTGTGCATGTGCAGCTAGATTGTGCACAAACAATGCCGACCTCGCATCATGTGTCGCGCAGGCCAGGCCACATTATGTACATGTGCTTGAGTTTGCTGGTCCCCACATGCAGTCTGTTGTGAACCCTCTGGTTCTCTAAAGTGTCAGGAACGAACGACCCCACACGGCACGAGGACAACTATTATTCTCAACAGTATATTTCACTTCCATCGACTAATACCAATGAACAATGAATGTATGAACAACGGAATGAACTGAATGAACAACACTAAAACCACCAGGTAGTTATAGCGTGAAAATGACAGCGTATATGAGAAAAGCCTACACATACAACATACAACTACAGCGCACTCAGCAAACCGCACATAGCGCATGTAGCGTATACTACGTCGTAAACATCAACGGTACGGCGGAGTCGGAATACAACTGCATTGGAACGAACACAATGTCACAAGCGAGAAGGCCTTTCACTCTCGAGAACTTGTCGTTTCACAACATTCTCCCCACCAAAGGGCTTCTCACCGCCGTACAACAACTCACAAGTCAAACGATTTGGGGCTTACTACGCGTCATCTTCTGCTGCGGTGGTGGCCATGGTAGAATATCAATAATGCCCACCAATTCAGAAAACTCGACATCGCGAAGCTTGCCGCTGTGGACTGTCGCACACGACACTGTCACCGATCCACTTCGACATGGGGCAGACGCTGGACCAGACAACACACAACCGATAATGTCATAAAGCTCGACGATGTGGGCTGTCACACACGACATGGTCACCGGTACACTGCTTCGACCCGGGGCGGGCGCGGAATCCGAGGACACACATCGGATCTCTGTGTTCCACACAGTCTCGCCGCTTACTTCTTCCGTGCTAACCAGTAGTATCGCCCTTCTTATTTTCTCGGCTTCTACGCCTTGCATTTCTAAGTCTTGCGCCTCTAACTCTTGCGCCTTTAACTCTTGCGCCTTTAACTCTTGCGCCTCCAACTCTTGCACCTCCAACTCTTGCGCCTCCAACTCTTGCGCCTCCAACTCTTGCGCCTCCAACTCTTGCGCCTCCAACTCTTGCGCCTCCAACTCTTGCGTTCGGCCGAGACTCCAGCTGCTTCTGAGCGTGTCCGACCGATGTCGCCATGCACTGCACCGACCCAGTGGGCCTTGGATCTGATCCTCCCACTGGCTTCGAATGCTCCTCTGACCGCTGCTTGTCTGTAAGCAAAGTCTTACACGCCTTGTCCGGCGTCCTTCCGGGCGAGGCAAGCAAATCTCGCTTTGCTTCCTCATAATATGTACTGACGGCGATGCGCTCGGCCATCTTCTTGAGCTTTTCGTTAAACTCTGCGCGGAGCGCACACTCTTGCCGTCTAGCACTGCGCTCTTCAAACTCCTCGCTCTGTCGGAGCCTCTTCTCCACGTATTCTCTCAACCTATCGCCTTCAAATCCATACCGAATTCCGTTGGCGATAAAGCTGGCTTCAATGACCCATAGTTCCTGTGCCATGCTCGCTTCGTATCCTGGCGTGGTCGCCAAATGTTGTGAACCCTCTGGTTCTCTAAAGTGTCAGGAACGAACGACCCCACACGGCACGAGGACAACTATTATTCTCAACAGTATATTTCACTTCCATCGACTAATACCAATGAACAATGAATGTATGAACAACGGAATGAACTGAATGAACAACACTAAAACCACCAGGTAGTTATAGCGTGAAAATGACAGCTTATATGAGAAAAGCCTACACATACAACATACAACTACAGCGCACTCAGCAAACCGCACATAGCGCATGTAGCGTATACTACGTCGTAAACATCAACGGTACGGCGGAGTCGGAATACAACTGCATTGGAACGAACACAATGTCACAAGCGAGAAGGCCTTTCACTCTCGAGAACTTGTCGTTTCACAACACAGTCAATGCAGCACAGTTTTTTTCTTTCTTTTTTTCCTCCAGACTCCTGAATCGTATGCACGCGGGTGACGAGAAACATAGAAATAAAAACGTGTGGCCTAATAAAAAAGAAGAAAAAACAGTATTTGCGTCTTGCGCTCAAACCAGTGAAAACAGTAGCGTATTTTCTTTCATAAAAGGCCAGATCTCCAATAAAAACCCAGGGGGGGGGGGGGGTTGTTTGAAATAATAAAAGCACAGTCTCTAATTGTAGCGGAGGTCACAATTGGAGTATGCAACAAGTATATTGACGGCATATAAAACAACAGTACGTCATGCCAAGCACCTATCTGTAAGGAGGTTTTCGGTCTATTTGTACTTCTTCCTTCCTGGCGCCCATGTTATTGTGAAACATCAGGTTTGACAATATTCCTCAATTTAGTTAGGGTTGAGCAAATCAGTCTTGATATGGTTAGTTTATGGCTTATTTCATGCCTATATAGACTGGAGTTGGCTTGATAATGGAGCATTGAAAACATAAAAAGCACCGTCTCGAATAATAGCACAGTCTCTAATAGGAGCGCAGCTCAGTAAAATAATAATAACCCCGGGCTCTTATTAGAGAAAATACGTAGCGTGCAGCAGTGGCATGATGTGCCTGTGAGCATGCACTTGTGTGTCACATACTAAGTCTTACACACCACGTAGTGCACAGGACTAGAAGAACTTGCATCCTCGGCTCTAAGAGCTTTTCCCTGGATGTGTGTGTGTGTGTGTGTGTGTATGAGGGGGGGGGGGACTTCTACGGCATTGAGCAGTGAGCAAGGAAATACAAACTTATTTCCCCAAATGCAAGTCGCACCTTTTTACACCTCAGGCTTTGACACTAATCTTCCAGAGCAAAGAGGGGCTGTGGCTTGACCTGTATAGAAGCAAGACTCGAATAGAAGCCGATTTTTTTTCGAAGCGCGGCATGACACAGAAGCATGATTTGAATAGAAGCCGCTCCCTGCAAAGAACTTGTACATGTTCATGTACCTGTGCAAGCACATGCGTGGCAGTATGTACGGCACAATGTTTACTGATGATGTTGACGGAGAAGCATGTTTTGAACATAAGCATGTAACTTGAATAGAAGTATGGTTTGAACCCCGGCTTAGGGGCCATCCATAAATATAGATATTTATATAGAATAAATAGTCGTTTAGTGGAGAGGCGGTTGAGCGCCTGTTCGTTTCTCGAGAAATATCGATGCACTATTTGTATGTGTGGGCATGTCCAGAAAAAAAGAAGAA